AAGACGAGAAGGTTGCTATTTGCAGACGACCCTGTTTGATTGGCATCGTCTGAAAGTGATCTACAGTGCTCCACAGAAAGGTTCGCAACCGAGTCCAACATCACCGACAGCCGTGTGAACACATCTAAAAGAGAAGCTTAGTGCTTTCTCGTCTCCTGCCCGTCGTTCTCTTCAGATCAACGGAGAGGTAGTGGAGCAGGTGGAGAAGTTAATGTACCTCGGAATTGTATTTAGTAGTGACGGGAAATAAGGAAGAGATTGACTGGCAACTGGAGCAGACAGTGGCGTTCTGCATGAACTCACCCGATTAACTATAACTAAAGCAGAGCTCAGTCTGAAAACCAAGCTATCGGTGTTAAAGTCGAACTTTATCCCCATGCTTACCTACGGTGATGAGTCGTGGACAATGACTGAAAAGCTCCAAATCCGAGTACACGCTTCTGAAATGGGCTTTCTTCTACGAGTCGCTAGTTTTATGCCTCTCGACATGATCCGGGAAAGCCTTAGTGTACAGCCTCTGTTTCTTCAGATTCAGGAGTCACAGCTGCGATGATTTGGGCATGTGTTGCGAATGCTTCCTGAAAGGACGGCTATTCAACTCTTTCATGCCAAACTGACCGGCGAAGATTAACCTTGTGCAAATATATAGGAGTCTGTTCCAAACTCCAGTTGTCTTCTGGCGAAGTAGACTCGGGTACAGGATGAGGAACGTTGGAAGCGCTGTCTGAAATGTCTGCCTCCGCGATCCGAAAGGAGGATCGGCCATGGAGGATGAAGATGAAGACAATGCCTTGAACAAGGAATTCCCTCTGCACTGCTTCAGCGCAACCAGCGTACAGACAGCAGCAAGACGTTGACCTGCGACCAGTAGGAAAAGCATAGTAGTCTGCAATGCTGATAAGAGAATAGGTGAATAGTACGGTCACAATATCTGATTCGAGCGCCATATCGGGTGACAATCCCCACTAACAGTTTGCAATTGGGTAAGATGACGATCACTA